TGAAAACCCATCTTTAGTTTAATAGTTTTGATTACCAAATGTTATCAATTTAGAAAAAGAAGCATTTTTCGTGATGAATTTTTAAACAAAAACTGCTGGTGGACATGAGTTGTTGTCATTTTGTTTTTAAGGCGTTCCTCTAGCTTTAACTTACACATTTTAACTTATGCAGCTATATATATATATATATGTATGTATGTATGTATGTATGTTAAGTCATAATGTTAAAATATAACATAACTTCTATAATATAACTTATAAGTTGTATACCTATATGTTACATTTGTATAAATGTTACATTTTGTTACATTTGTATAAATGGAACTAGATTTTGTGGAAATAGTAGAGCTGTATGCTGGGGAAACAGTTTATTTTATCTAGAAGGATCATTAGAATACCTGAGCCAACCAAAATGTGTTAACAAAGTTAATGTTTTTGCTGTAAGGTGTATGATGTCAGCTTTGGGCCTCTTGTCCCTCTTATCTCTTCTAACAGCACACTTAACCAAGAAAAGTTGCCTTCTATTTAAAAAATGCTAATTAGAAAAATTACTTATATCCCTTGATTTTACATTATCTTATGTTATGGTTATATTATGTATTTTATAGTTCTTAATGTGTTTTGTATATCTTCATTTTATTTTTAAAGAAAGAATATTAATAAAAAGTAATGACTGACACAGGTAGGGTAAACAAAATGAAAGTTCAAAAGAATTCTCCAATTCCAGTTATGAAGAGCAACTAGGATAAAGAAATGGGAAACAGCAGGCATTAAGTTTTAAGACGGTAGATTCCGGCTGAACACTTAGAACATGCACACAATGTGATCTCACCTTCTTTGCTAGAGGATCTAAGGAGAATTTTGATACATCTTGTAGCAATAGTATTATTTGTAAATCAGCCCTAACTTCAAGTGGACTGTACACAGCAGTCCTAAAAAGTACAATGAAACCAGCTATTTCATGATTGATTTGAGGTTGGTAACTCAGAAATATTTTCCTTATTTGGGAAAATTAATTTTTCAAGTTTTGAGGGAAACTGTTCATACTCTGTTCCCTCATGCAGGTTTGTGAGGTGGCAGTTGGAATGCATGCATTCATTCCTGTGAAGGTTGGAAATCTTAATTGGAAATTGTTTTAGGGTTTTCTTTTTTGAAAAAATGAGTGGACCCGTTTCCACTTTATCTTTCCTCTTTGGTGTTTTGTCAGCATTCCTTTTCCCCTAGTGCATTTCGAACACAATATGACTCAAGTATCTGTTTGCTTTGTTACATTCAAGGAAGATCCTAACAGTGCGGTTTCAGCTAACATGATAAGACGGATGGAGGGGAGACAAAACTGCTACAAACAGGAGTAAAGTGTAGCTTATTAAACAACTGCATAAAATGTAAAGCAGTTTTCAGGGCTAGTGTCTTTATTCACAGGGATCATAGAATTGGCCTAACCATCAGGATGAATGAGATAACCACTTCAGGCAGCTAATTCTGGCCTGCCCTGTTCTGTCAGTACCAGTGCTGCAGATCACTCTCTCTCTCATGAATAGTTGCTCTAAATTTCCCAGGATGGCTCTTTTTGTTACAATTCCTCTTTTGCAAAATATTGTGACTTAGAGGATATCCAAAGAAACATGCTGCAGTTTCTCAAAGAATTGCAATTTCCCCAGCCCCCAACACACACACATACATACACACACAGCTGATTATTGTTTGTTCTTTAAATGAGTGCCGAAATAAGCAGCAATATAACTGCCTTCTCAAAAAGAGAATATCAGTCTGTGCACATACCTCTTATAAAGAGCAAACAGGACTGTTGCGCTGGTCAGCTTTGTGCTATTACGTAAACAGAGTATTTGTCAAGGACTGTCATTCGTTTGAGTCAGTAACATTTGCCTATGTTTTTCTACTATTTGTGAGAGCTGAAGCTTTGAAAGTGCTTATCAATGAGCATGATCTTTTATTCCATCAAAATTATTTAGATTAAGAAAACACAAACATTTCTCTACCTTGGTTGAATAGATTGTTATGTTTTTCCACACAATGGCAATATACTGGTTTAAGTCTGAAGCATTATAAGGGCTTCTTTTGCAGCTTTGAAGAATTATCAGAGAAGAGCAATTGGATTTTTTTGTTTGATTGCTTTCTTTCCTTGGTAACTTTATAAACATAAGGAAATATGACATTTCCTGTTTCTAAATGTGTGGTGCTCATACAAAAAAAAAGCAATGAGATGAAAATAAAACAGAACCTAAATTCTAAAATGGTAGCCTCAGACTTTAGTTGCTACCATGTTACCCACTCTGGTGCAGCAAACGAACAAATAGCTGCTTAATTGACTCAGCAATTTGTGAAGTCCTTTGCCAGTGACTGGCTCAGAACCACGGTTGCCCCTGTTAGGTCTTTGCAATGGAGATTTGAAGGTCAATGGTTCAAATCTGGTTTATGTCAGGAGACGTTAAGTGTACATGTGTTTTTCATTCTTTCTATTTTGCCTGTGGAAAAAGTAACTGAATTTTAAAAGTTCAGCTTAGAAAACGTTCCTTTAAATGTACATTGTATATGTGTAATTTCAGATTTGGAATCCTTATTTTTTTTTGTAAGAAGATTACAGACCACCTTTGTTGCTCAGATTGATGACTATAAATGTGTTAGGTGTACAATATCTAGCTTTAGTTTTTGACCCTTACAGAAAACCTAGGTCAGTTTTTACAATCTTCTGTTTCTTAACCACTCGGAAGGAAGGAAGGAAGGAAGGAAGGAAGGAAGGAAGGAAGGAAGGAAGGAAAAAATATTGGCCAGAAATTTTAGAACTGGACTTCATAGAAATCTTTTACTGAACATGTACAGTGGCTGATTTTTCTTAAACAGAATTCCACTGCATTAGCCTGAATTTTAGAGTTAAGCCATATGTTAAAGTTGCAGGGAATAGTCTGTCACAGTAAGGCATTAGTAGATCCAGGCCATAGAGGTGTGAGTTTGTCAACAAACTCTATTTTAACATTTAGCTGTGGGTTTCCATATTTCTTTCAATTTTTCTATCTTTGTTTTATTTTCCTGCATATCATTTTATTTGGCTGAAATATTTTTATCTTGATGTGTTTGGTTATCAATCCAGAAAGACTTCTTGGTGATCATATATAGCTATCTTAAACTATTATCTTCAGAATAATCATTTATGCTATGTAGCACTTTTACACCTCAGAGCTGTATAAAAACAAAGATGACCAACTGTGGCTATGGTTTTGCCATCTAAAGTATAGATTGGAAAGGGAAGTTGGCAGAAAGGGTTGATAAGTGGTTCAGAAAGGAATGTCTGTGTAAAAAGGTATAATTTTAAATGTTCTGAGGACAGTAGGAAAGGCAGATCTATGACTGCTAGATAGGAATGAATTTCTTGCAAAGAGGGCTACGTGGAGCAGAAATGGTAGATATGTGATAGACTGCAAGATCCTTGGTCGAGGTAATGGAAGCATTGCATAAGAAGGAGAGAACTGTGGAGGCCCACAAAGAAGGGAGGAAAGATGAGTAGGTGCAAAAGGAATGTGAGCATGTGTAAACAAAAAGCAGAAGTTTAAAATGGATACAAGGTGAAGGAAGGATGCTAGTAGAGAGAAAACAACAAAGGTAATTTTTGTTTTATGCAAAGACCTGAATAAACTAGGTGAGCAGTGGCATTTATATAAGTGAATAGATGGAAGATTAAAAAGAAGTGTATTCTAACAGGCCTCATGAGACAGGATCTGTGAGTTAGAAGCACGGTAGTTAACAAAGGATGAAGTCTAGAAATACAGTCATAAATAATGATCAAGATTGCACACCTGAGTAAAAGGATAAATTGAAGCAGAACAATAGAGCAATGAAAAGAAGGAAATATTACTAGAATATCAGGAGGATAGTTGGGTATTATGGTTCTATTTATTTTGTACATTCCCATACAAAACAAAACTTTAGGTATATTTCAGTTAAGAAATGTGAACAAAGCCAAGATGAAACATCATCAAGACATGGCAGAAGCATCATAAGCAACAAATAGAATTCTAGCTATGAAAACATTAATAATCCTAAATGAATAGTGGCCAAAAGAGAAGAGATAAATGCAAAAAAGCAAAGGTCTTAGGAGTGACCTCTGGAAGGAGATTGGGCAGGGGGGAGAGGGATAACATGAGCTAGAAAAAGAAAATTAAAAAAAAACACAGATAAGTGTATTATAATCAGTATAAAATACTACTGTGAAAATTAATGGGAGATAAAGTTGAAAATAAAATGACCAATAGTGGTGGTAATACATCACTGATAAGACTCAAAGCAGATTTCATGGAGTGATGGGCAAAGAATCCTGACTGGAACAGATCAGCTAATGAGTTATCAGCAAGAAAAGACAGGCAACTTGTCCTAGAATTTCAGAAATAAAAGGGCATGTGTAGAGAGTGAAACTGGGAAAGGTCAGAAAAGTCCAGCAAAGGGGTTTTCTCCCCTCCCCCTAAAAGAGGTAGAACAAAAGCTGGTTTGAAAGATGCAGCAGATAAAGAACAGTGTCTTGAGTTGAAGGAGGAGAAGGGAAAAATAATGAAAGCAAGTCAGAAAATCACCTTGCTGGAAGGCTTGGGGATAAGTTATGATTCTATATGAAGCATCTAATAAAACCAGTCAAAGTAGGTAGTAATGATACAGTGTTACTCTATGATGTCTTATTTTAATTTAAGTGGATAAACTATTTTAGTTCTAGTATTTTATATTTTTCACATCTTGCCTAATGTTTTATAATATAACATGAGGAATTTAGTTTGGAAGCAGAGATGAGGTGAGCTTATGGACAGAGTTGAATCCATTGTTTTGTTAATGGGAGTGGGGAGTTGATGGACCAGTTGAGAGAGCACACAGTACCAGGCAAACTTTCTTTTGTCTTCCAGACTTTCTCTGACCCAGAATTAGCCAGGTTACTGTCAGCAAACTGATGTGCCTGCATGTACCCTTGAGTCTACATGGTAGATGAGGAACCATCTTACCTTCTAGGGTTTGATCTTGAATGACTTTGCTTGTATGAAGAGTTGGGTAGATGAGTCAGCTTGTTCCAGCTGCATCTTCCTGTTACTGGAGTGATACCTAAACAGAGACAGACTGATGGGTAGCTGAGCACGATCATTTTCTTTACTCTTGTGTGAGCACAAGTGATCCCAATATGGATTGGAACCATTGCACTCCAGAGGAAGAGATTTAAACCTTTTCTCCACTAATTTTTCCTAGAATCTCAAGGTTAAAAAAATACCCCATTGCTATTCTAGGAGTGGTGGAACCTCAAGAAGAAAGTGATGGTGGAAAATTTAACCCTTGCTCCTGGAGAAGCATAGTCCCTATGCAAATTTGAATTGTGCATGCTTATATGAGAATAAAGTAAATTATCATGCATAGCTACACTACACATGATAAGAGAATGTTTTTGGCCTCCAAGAAGGGATGCTGAAGTGTCTCTGATTATATAGAATGATGTGGTGTGGAGTTCCTAGGAAGCTTATAAAGAACCCTCAACAGACAGCTGTGATTTGTTTGTGGTGCTTAGAAACCCACCTTTTTGCATCCAGTCCAACCTGATGCCATTTTGGATATCATTCATTCAGTCACTGGGCTATATTTACTGAGGTTGTTGCAGCCCAAAGACAAAGCTCTTGCAGAGGTAAGGAGTACCACTATTTTCTCAACCCTGGTTCTCCTTGATTGATAACACTGGCTGGGAGGATGACTGGCAAATGTATCACTCACTGCACAACACATGGTGCCAGCCACACTGAGAGAGGCATTTGTTGCAGCACCCAAAAGAAAACCTTTCTAGAATCAAGCCCATTATTCCTACTATTAGCTGGTTGCAAATCTCTGTTCTTCAAAGAGAACAGTATTTGTGAGTGTGCCTCCCAGCTCTTTTCTCCACACCACAAAACATGGCAATTATTTTAAGCACACTTTTAAAAATAAATAAATGTGCTTTTTATTTTGAGCACTGTTGTAGAATTTACAATGAACTTAAAAAAATGCAGACTGCAAAAGTGTTTTAGCACTAATTAAGCAGTTGGTGAGACTAGACATGCTGCACTTGTATACTTTTGCACTGCCATTCACACACATCCTCGGTGCCTTTCAAAGTTCCCAAATTAGACACTGAATTGCAATATACAAAAAATTGCATAAATAGCAAAAGCAGGTGAAACAGCCTTTTTGTTTGTTTTCTAAAAGAAGTCTTCACCTGGTACAGAAATAACATCCGTGTGTGAATTAAGTGAGTCTTTCTGAAGGGAATTTGCTAAAATAAGGGAAGCAGCAATATTGAGAAACCTGTCTTTCTAGCAGGTATCTGGCACACCTTGAATGACACACAAACCTGAAGGAGGCCATTTGCTGAAGACCTTCACATGCAGGGATAGATAGTCCTTCAAGTTTCCTGGTTCCAAACCATTAAAGATTTTAATGTTCCAAATCAGTTTTTTGACTCTGAATTGGGCCCAGAAACACACCAGGAGCCAGTGTAGCTGATGGATCACTGATCATAATGACCCTGCTCAGTAATCTAGTATCTAGCTTAGGCCACATTACAGTAATGTAAATCTTTAAAGAAAAATTTAAGTTTGCTAAGTGTTGTTGGTTTCTTTGAGTGAGGGGATGGGAAAGTCAATTTAAAGAAAATTGAAAAAGAAAAGCCAGCTTCCCACTACATGGTAACTTACAGGTATTTTGAATGGCAACTCCAAATGCAGCCAAAGTGGCCCGTAGTCATAAGTGATGGAAGTTGTAAAACATCTGGAGGATGCCTGTGCTTAGGCAAGGCTTAAAGAAGCTGCTAAAATGGTGTTGCCTGGAACTGTGATAGAGAATGTGTGCCAAAGTACAGACGAAGTACCCAAAACTAGATGGGGTTGCCTTGTAAATGCCCCATACAAGTTCACTTCAATGAAGTTTCAGTAGGTCTTAGTCACTGTGGATCTATATACTGCTGACTGAATGAAATAATTCAAGGATCTAGCTTGAAATGCTTTCCTAATTATAATATGCAGGATATTAGTAAAGCTCAGAGACAGGAACTGTAGTACTGTCTATATCTCTTTCCCTTTCCTACTACTGTGCTGACTTTTGGCAGGGGAAAGAGAACAGTCAGTTCTCCAGAAGCTGCTCTGCCGGAGAAAAGGGAGCCAAGGACAGACACTATTCTAGTCCTTACCCTTCCTAGAAAAGCTACTGTTTGCATTCAGCTTCCCTGTGGGCCGTCCTGCTAAATAGCCTTGCAGCTCCTGTTCCCCCTCAGTATTCCATGTAATATCCTGTGTCTGCCGCGTGAGGCTGTCAGAGTCCTCCTGCTGTCTGTAGGGCCAGCCCTCCCATTAGGCAGAAGCAGGTGGCTTTGTGCTGGTCTGGGAAGCCATAGTGGAAAGTAGGGGCATTTATGCCGTAAGACTTGAACAGAACTCCTAAATCTGGCCTGCTGCTCTCAGGTGCTGTGGAGGTTGAGCTAGTGTTGAATTAAGATAGAGCTGCCTGGTTGTCTTTTTCCCTTGAAATGGCATCTCGTCCTTCACCTCAGGCAGTAAAAGGTCTTAGAGCAGTCTGTGTCTATGCCTGCTCCAGAGCTTCCTAGCAGGTACCCCCAGCATAGCCTCTGAATGTATCTGCTGAATTAGGGTTCTTCTCTACTGAGTTCCCATGCCCTCCTCTCCATAGGGACATAACAATTTTCTCCAGAGTGGAAGTTTGGTGATTAGAAAATGGATGAGTGGGATGAATTTGAATGGATGAAAAGAGCTCAAGGTTCTGAATTTGGGGTTCCGTATGTGTACAATGTTGATAAATACCCTTAGTTTAAAAAATCCTTCATTTAAAAAAGCCTGTTATGTGCAATATCTAAGACACTCAGTTCAGATATTGCATTGTGATTTTTTGGTGTTTTTTCTGGTCTCCTTGCAAGTGGGTGTGGAGCTGGTGTTCAGACTTGAAACAGAATTGTGCCTTGAATGTCCACACAAATGTTTATTTTTATATATTTGGATTTGCCACCTTCTCCTTGAAATTGGGTTAAGAAGATGTTCTAATGACAAATGGAAAATGATTTACCGACCACGTTTTACTCTGATCCTTAAAGCAGATTGCACTGATGCATTTTTACCTCATTTGTGGACCCACCTATCGATACTTAAACTTGAAATGCAGAATTGTGTCCTGCACATGTATTTCATTTTCCAGTCTTAACTTTCAAGGAAGTTGTGAAGTTGCAAGTATGTTGAATGTTGAGCAGACAAGTCAAATGAAACACCTGGTTTTGCTCAGTTATTTATGAAAGTTAGTAAAAACTTTCTTATGTTTTCTTATTCTGCATAATTTTGTTATAGTTATGCAAAGTGTCTCTAAGGATTTTGCTAGATGTTTCAGCCTATGTATCCAACTTTAAACACATGCATACTTAACCGAGTGCCTGCCAGCTATGTAGGACCACAACTGCAGTGGCAGGGATGATAGGTTTTAGTCAATTCTGAGAATACACACAGCACAGTTTCTGCCTTCCCCTGCTGTTACTGGGTTAGCTGGCATGATGCATTTGACTTTTTTTCCCTGCAAGCAGTTTATTTGGAGTACCAGTTTTCTGTCCAGGGCATACCATCATCTGCAGCTGGAGCAGGACATCTCTGGGTTAGAGTCCAAAAAATGTGGAAAGATCTATAAGTACATTGTGGAACATATCTTGGGTTCGAATTTTGTTGCGTGGGGTTGGTTTTTTCACCCCCTAAACAGCTTGTTTTTCCTGCTGCTTCAGCATGTGTCCCTTAACCACACATGACCACTTATGGCCCGAAGTAGCAGCTGAGCTTTTTGTCTCTTTGCATTTCTTTCTTTACACTTTAAACAAACTTGCTTCCACATTCCTCTATGGACAGTTTTTGTTTATTGACTGTATTTTTAACCAGCCCCAGTCCCTAAGGTTTTCTGTGTTGCACAAATTCACCCGAGCTTCTGTACAAGTACTGGAGCCTCCCCTTTCCTCAGAATGCCCTCTTGTACCCCTAGAAGCAGAAGCTGACAAAGACAACCTCCAGCATGTGTAGGCAGCCTGGGAGAGCCCTCTTGTGTGCATACATGGAAATGCTGTATTTAGGCGCAGGGTTTTAAGTCCGATTTTTTTAAAAGCAGGAGTAAGATTTCAAGAAATAACTGAATTCTGCAGGTGCCAGAGGACAAGTATGGAACTGGATAGTGTCTTTCTTCGACGTTTGTTTTGTGATTGACTGGTTAATTGTTTACAATACATGAATAGCATTTTGTAGTTGCAAGGAACATATGTTCAAAATTCATAATCTGCTGGAATGGATTTTTTTCCTGAATGATGTATTATCCACAGCACATTTTTTCAGCAGAAATTTTTCAAAATGCATTGCTTCATTAGAAAGAGAGAGAGAGAGATGGTAATATAATGAATAAACAAAGTACAAGTCAAATTGGGATACTGGAATGAATGCTAGTCAAGCTATAATTGTTGGCCGTATGCAACAGAGCACTTATACTGCTGCTGATTTCTTCCCTCAAGCAGTGAATTCTGTCAGCTCTGGCACAAGCATGACCTACTGCTTATGCACTGGAGATTTAGCACTTCCTAGAGGGAGCTCTAAAATGAACAGAAACAACTGTTTCAGCTCATTTTGGATTGCCCCCAGATATACTAAATCTCCATTCCGCAAGAGGTGAGTGCCATTTGCAGAAGCAAATCAGTGGAGGTGTAAACATTGGATGCTGCCTAGATTTTCCAATGCGTTATCTGTAAGAAAACTTATATCTATAAATCTTCAGGCATATGAACTATAAATAACAGCTTTTAGTACCTTCATTTTGAAAATGTAAGCAAAGCATTTGCTACTAAGTTGTCGTGTCTTAAAATATTTATGAATATTGCAATGAGAATACTTTCTTCACTTTAACTACTTTTGGCTATTTTGAAAAAAAAAAAAGTTTAATTCATATGATAGACATTTCCACTATTGTTTACTGAAAATAAATTGAATAAACAGAATCAGATCTATCCCAGCTTGGGGCACCAGAAAATGTTCCAGGGATTCTGATTCAACATTTTCTGGAAAACCCACTCAGTTCCTATAGTGAAAGAGGAGTTCACTGTGAAATAAAGGTACTTTTATTCCTGGGTCATTCTTTTAGCAAAGGCTTTGGTGAAACTCTTTCCTGATGGCACAAGCCAAATTTTCACAGCTATTTTAAATGTATTTTCTCTGCAGTTTCAGTTTTGTAAAATTTAAATTAAGGTTGCTGGTCAGCCAGTGTCTCCTGGTCTGGTCTTTTAGAAATCTTATGTTTATTGGTTTTTGTATCGAATGATGATTTTCTAACATAGTACTCCATAATGTTTTACAACAAAACAGAATAATACAGAAATAAAATGTATATGATAGCTTAAATCCAGTCTTTTTTCTTGCTTGCACAAGGATCCCCTGAACTGGCATCTGCTCAGGAACTCTCTGCTATTCTCTTTCACCCTCTGCAAACCTGCACTGGACTCTTGGGGAACCATTTGGAAAAGGCAGTGGGCAAAAATAGTTTCCGCCTCATTTTGGGAGGATCCTCTGCCGGATCGTAAGGCTTCTTAGATGGGAGGAACCACTTTGCGTACACAATACTTTCTTATTGATTTATTGGATTACTATCCTGCCCCTTTAGCCAAAATAGCTCTCTGGGTGGGTACAAAAGTACAGTTCATACCTTAAAAAACATGGTTTGTATCCAACTGTGTGAATCTTCCAGAAGTATACATTCCACCCACTGCAGCCCTGGTGTCTCCAAATGTGTCCCTGAGACTTGGATCTGATTGTCGGGAGAGAAGAGCAAAGAGAAGTCCTGCAGTGTAAGTGGAAGTCCACTGGCATGATATTGGAAGTCAGCCTATATAATTTAAGAGTCGTCTGCATGCTCGGACCAAAAGGTTTTACAACTTTTGTAGGATTGTTCCCTAATTATAAAAAAAAATCATAGATCAGATAATCAGTGGACTTTGAAGAAACAGACGTTGCCTTGATCACATTCTTATATTCTTCTAGATTCTATCCAGTTTTGTAGTAAGCATTCACAGAAGCAAAAGGGATGCAAATGTAGATGGAATGCTTTAGAACAGCTGGACAGCTTTTCTCACAGAGAGGAGGCTTTTCCCATTGACTCTGCAAATAATTTCATACCTAGTTCTAGTCCAACATTCAGGAGCCAAAAGACTCATGGGTTTTAAAGATTAGAAACTGTTGCAGTGTTTACGTAATGTTAAAATAAAAAATGTTGTCATGTCTACACACATGCAGAGTTGACATACTGTACTGCTAGCCACCATTCAAGGTTAATCGTAGCTTGAAAGGCCTAGAATGAATGGAGAAATAAGGTTTGTCTTTAAGGACATCTTGTTTAGAATTCTGTTGGAACCTGATGGTTTTATTTGACTTTGTTTGTTTGGCATTAAAACAAATTTGTCTTGTATGTTAAGAATGAAATCTAAACCAACACAGGATAAGAAAATGTATAAAGGAGGCTGCTTTCAGGTGTGTTCTATGCATGTTATTGCTGAGAAGAATCAGATGTCGCTGTTTGTTGTTCAAGTATTCTTGGGTCTTTGTTGTATTGTGGTCCTTTCTCAGGGTACATAAAACAGTTGGGATCCTTCAGTCCGAGCATGTTAAAATTATGATACTGTGGCACATTCTGCCCTAAAGGACCCTTAAGGACCCATTTTGTATATATTTAGAGTACATGGCCTGAGATAAAAGCAGTGACATATCCATGTGATATAGTTATTGTGTTCTAGCTAAAATATTTTTTTCAGATAATAAACAGTTCAGTGGCAGGATGCCAAACAGGGAGGCACCTTCGAATTTGTAAAATAATAGTAATCATCATCATCAAAACCAATTTGTTCATCTTAGTCATTAGTTACTACTCATTACCATAATTTGCACAGCATCTTCATTTGTAGGTTTGGTGCTATCTGACCCTCTATGTGTGTATTATTTTGGAATTGCTCCAAATGTAATAATGTGAATAAATTCTTGCAAAGTGTTCATAAATAGGCTTAGGCAGCTCTAATATGCACATCAATGGGATTTGTGTTTAAAGAGTATGATTACAGTCTAAAATCATATTTATGTTAACAAGTGAAGCTTCTCCTGCTTGCTTACATTCATTATAAAAAATTAGCATTATAACTCAGCGTTCTGCTCTGACTTTTAATGATATATTAATTCCTACCCAGTCATTCATTTCCTGTTAATGTCCAGGGACAATTAGTCACTCTTACAAGCTCCCCATGTTCATATATGTTCTACATATTTAAGTGAGCTGTCATTTTATCAAGTGGCCAAACTATAAATGACCATGTTCCTGGTTGTCGTCATTTTAAAGTTATAGCAATTTTGTTTTATTTTTTTTTTTTGCTAATTTGGTTAAATTTATGAAAAAGTCAATCTGCTTCTATGTAATCATTTCCTCTGAAATGAATACATAATTAGTAAAATCTGCTTTGACTGCAAATGTCACCCATAATGCTGCAGGAAGTAGTGGCTCATATACTGCTTTTTTCTGTAGAACTTTAAGTTGTCCTTTGTTTCTACATCTACTGAGGTTAAAAAAATACCCCAAATTGGATGTCTGATATACCATCAAAAAAACAAAACAAAACGAATTAGCCTGAACAGTCAGTTATAAACTAAAATCACAAAGAAAATCATGCATATCTGAGCATGCATATAACATTATTCGCCTTAGATAAAATTATTTGACAATATTTGCCTTGCTATTAAACACAGCTACTCAATTAAAAACTAATTTTTCATGATGGATTTTAAAAACCAAAATTAACTTGTTCTGTAGTTTTTATAAGTAAACACGCTGACCTACATAATTTGGTAACTCTTTAGACTCCCAGGTAATTTATTAGTTTCTTGCAGACCTGGGCTAAGAGGGCTTTAATAGACTAGAATCTCTTTAAATGAAGAGCAGAATTCCAGCTGTTACATTTGCACTCGCAGATGTGGCCATGTGTACGTAATTTCTCTTGTTAAGCCCATGAAAAGGCTTGTATTATAGAATGAGCAAAAGTGGCACTTGAGACGTGAGAATGTTTTTTTAACCTTCTGTATGGCATAATATTTGCAGGATCCTTTTAGGCAAATAGTATATTGCATGAGAAGGTTGTTTGGCTCACTTGGAAATGCAATACATAGTCATCCTCACAACTGGGATTTGTTTTCGAATATCTATCAGAATACATCCTTGAAGTGTGTGTGGTAAATTGAGCTGTGTTCCTGGAAGGCTGGTCCACAAATGTAATCTTTGTGATGTAAATGGTTTGGTGGTTCATTACCCTTTCATTAAGCAGCTCCTTCAGTGTTGGCCAGAGGACATTTCCATAGTTAAGCTTTGTGGATTCATAAGTTCACTTACCAGGCTATCAGCTATAGTTTATTTTCTTGTTTGAAAATGGGGGTGGGGGAGAGAAAGAGAGAGGGAGAGAGAGAAATGCAGGCACAGTGTGATCTGTTCCTACAAGCAATGCTGAATGTGATCAGAAAGCTGGTAGGTCATGACAGTAACCCATTCTGTGAACTCCTGATGCTCTGAAATATATTTTGGGGACCACAGAAGATGCCATGACCTGCATCTCTGGTATATGTGTTGTATTACTTGCTTGTATGGTTGGAAGCAGAAATGTGAGAGAACTGTCCCACATGGGAAAAAAAGTAGGCTAGTATAAAATGCAAAGAAATTCATACTAATTTTGGCAGTGACCTTAGCTGATTTAATGGCATGAATTTATTTCATGCAATTCTTTCTTTTTTTAAAGTGGGGAATACTGTCTGTAAAGAGAATTTTGTTAGCAGGATGTTTTGTTTTTTTCAGAGATTTTCATGCTGCACCAGCAGGTGTTTAGACCCTGACTGGAAGCCCACAAAAGAGAGGAAATTCTGAATTAAGGCTCATTATAGGAGCCTTTTCTTCCTCCCGTAGGCACATGCTAATAGGAGTGACACACGCATATCAAGAGGAGAATAGACTGCCATAATGAGCCCCAACTCGGAGTTTCCTTCCTTTTGTGAATTTAAGTCAGATTCTGAAGAACCCACTGACACTGGGCACAATGCAACAGGAAATTCTCCTGTGCAAGCCCACTAGAATTAATGTGGTTTACATTAGAGCAGGGAGAACTTGTGCAGGGGATGTTCCTGGTAGAAAATGCACAGCAAAGCTTTTTTAAAAGGAAAGACTAAAGCAGCCTTCCCCAGCCTGGTACTCTCCATTTGTGTTGGACCTCGAGTACCAGCACACAACATGGCATTTGGTGAGCACCAGGTTGGGGAAAGCTGCTTTAAGGAATGACGGTGTGGTGCTACTTTTTGCCCAGTTCTGTACTGCTAAAGTAATGCAAGAATGTGGTCAGACACTGTTTTTAACCACCATTCTTTGTGCTTCAAACAATACCATTTTTGCGATCCAGCACATCGTATTAAAGAATGTATGTAGACTACAGTACAACTATAGTATCCTTTTGAGTTAATGAACCTTGCTCCCAAGTTACTGCTTTCAGTTATAGCTGAAAATCTAAGAAAGTCTATTCTAAAGTCATCCTGTTAATTTAAAAAATGGAAACCTGAAATACTGTTTCACCCCTTTGTGTTAACAATTGTGCTGATTTGTTAAAAGCCTGTATGAATTGTTTTGCTTTTATCAAGTTAATTTGTATTTGCTTCTTTAATGGATGACTTTAAAAGGCCAAATCAAGAGAAGATCAAACTGGTATTGCTAACTGGATGCTTTAGAATGCAATGGTAAGCCAGAATTGCAGGGAATTCCACCTTCTTGTTGAATTCAATCATGGCCACTGTCTTTTAAAAAGCCTTAACTGGCATTTTGGGTGAAAAGAGATTTTTCTAATATTATGCTTATGCCTCAGACCTCTCTGATTAGTGACATCTAATTACTTTTCACTTATGCATGCAGATATTTCTCTGTAATAAGTAGTTTACAATTCCTGTCCAAAATAGTGCTTTTATTGTTTGCTTCTACAATACTCTGTATAGTTGATATTCATATAATATGGATAAAATGTGTTTCAGTTTCTTCAACAAACATAATTGGAGGGTTTGATCTTCTTAGTGGTGGTAACATTTTGCTAATGAAGCATAATCAATTTTCCCAGGAACTGCTGTTACATATGTAAACTGCATCACTGCATCCCTATTTGGGGCTTTGAAGAAATAGATTTTCAAATATCCTTTGCAAAGTTAAATAGGCAGCATCTCTTCATTGATTACAGATTCCTCTCTTCCCAACGTAGTCTTTTTGACGAATGCTAATATACAGCAACACTTTCCCTATTTGATTCATTGGATTACTCTTTATCAATCTTCCTCTTTCTCACATGCACCCCTCAGAAGTCCACTAGGAATACAGCAAATCATTGGAATTCATTGCTTGTAGACTACTGGAATTTAATAGGGGACTTTGGCCCTGAGCAAATTCACTGTTCATATCATTCCTTCTGTACTTCAAAATATATTTCTTCCCCATCTCTTGCCTTTTGCATCATCTAGCCTGATAAAAACTTCTGAAGAATATCAAAGCTTGCATATAATTATAGCATTTTGGTTGGTCCTGAGAAAGGTATTGAGCAGCTGTGGATTGTGGTTTCAAACTACATGTAATTAACTGGGTTTGTTCAAACAGGGAAGGAAAAGAAACTACGGCGGCTTCTTTACCCTTCCCCCAACCCACCTCATTTTTGTAATTACCTGTGTTGCACATGTCATCTGAAACTAGTTAGGGTGGGTGGTGGGGGTAGTTTCCAAACAACCCTGGAACACTATGACAAGCGGATAGTTATGAAAATGGGGTTGTATGTGACCAGCACATGTAGTGTGGGAAAAAAGAACCACTATGGGGCCTTTAATTTCCCCATTGTGCAAATCTGTATTTTCTGTCACATTCTGTCCCTTACAGGTCCTAGAGAACTGATTTTTGCATCTACTGTGGCTAAGCCATTTAATACTTTCCATGTAAGACAGGTACTAAATGGTCTTTTTTATTCATTCTCCTAAATTCTAACCACCTTTTCATCTGAAAAGTGTTCTTTTCAGAACCCTACCCCAGAAGAGTCTTGCATTCCAATCTCTCAAGGTTAACCTTCATTTGACCAAACATTACTGTAGTTCTTTCATCCTGTCAAGGCAAGACAATACCACTGCTGTTGTCATGACTGCATATTCCAGTTAAGACATCCTCAACATTTGCTCTTGAAGGGCTGTCAGGCCCTCAGGAAAAGATTTTGAGGTGGCACAGAGAGCTGGAGATGAGAAGGCAGTAGAAGACAGTCTTGTCACAGTAGCAGATACAGTCTAGCTCTCTAGCAGGGCATGTGCATACTATCATAAAAGCTATGTTTGCTCTATGCAGCTGCTAGGTTTTGGCTAAAACTTAAAATGTAAGGCACCTTTAGTATACGTCAAAGCTAGTAAAAATTTCAAGCACGTTTTTAACTGTCATGTTTTTTGTTCCCCTCCATTACAGTTTCCTCCAATCTGTTGAAGGAAACTCCTGCTTAGACTAACAAACTGACATACAAGGGACAGAAGCTCTGTTGTGAAGAATGCTGTCCCAGGGAGGAAATGTGCCAGAAGATGCTTTCTCTAGCATGGGTCTGAACATAGCCTTGCATGTTTGAAATGTACTTCTGCTCTTCTCTTTCCCTTCTTACTGTACACCTTTCAAGAGGATGCACTGATTCTCAGCACTGACATTTTGAAGGGCAAGAGGCTGCCATGCAGCTTCCAATAGGTGTCTTTGCATCTAAGCCTATGTTTGTTATATAGTTGGATCAAATGCTGTTAATCCAGAATCTTAAATTTGACATAGTTCCAAATCCTAGGCTTTTATTTCTTTCTCTACAATAAAGGCTCAGTTCAGACACATCTAAACAAATGGCAAAATTTGTAAATCTAGAAGATAATTGGAAATTCTGTTTTGATGTCATAATCTTAATACAAGCCATTTGCTTTTAGACAATCTGTTATTTAGAACAAAGAAAAGATCTATATCGAAACCATGGTAACACGATAAATGTACTGATGATTTACATTAACATGATCATATTTTCAGTAGGAGTTTCACTATGTTCTTTTAGCCAATTGAATGTTAGGTATGCTGCTTTGAAATAGTGAATTATTTGCCTTTGTTTCAGAAAAACTCTTCAAAGAAAAATCAGCATTTGATGTCTACATATTGAACTTGAGTAACTTAAGTGAATTTTGTAATTGTACTTCAGTTTTTTTTCCTCCAAACATATACTATGAAACAGAATTTATATGTTTATCAACAGTTTAAAATACTGTTTAGTTGGCCAGTGTTTCCCAAGAGTCTGTATTTATGCATATACTTTTAGAATTTATTGACCATTTTTTCCCAGTGGCAGACACTCAGAAAGGTTTATAGAACTCGATCCATGAAAATACATAGGTACATCAATCATAAAACCTCACCTAAACCACACATTCAATGAATGGCAAATTCAATGAGATAGTAAAATATAAAACCAGTCAGCATTTTTATTCATTATATTTATATCCTGCCTTTTTTCCTTTAAAGGAGCTCAAGGAGGCTTATGTAATTCTCATCCTCCTTTCAATCCTATCCCCACAACAGCAACCCTGTGAGGCAGATTGGGCCCAGAGTCCCTTTGTTCGCTCTATGGCTGAGTGGGGACTACAGCCGAGATCTCCTGAGCCTCAGTCACACATTCCTAACCCTGCACCACACTGGCTTTTACCAGAACAGTGACAGCATTCATTTAGCTTCCATGTTCTTCAGGAAGCCTATTTAAATAAACTAGTAAAGGGCAAGCGTTGTACCTAATGTTTTTCCTGAAGAGCAGCTTACTGAGCCAGAACAATTTTCCAGCTATAATCCCTAATCCAAAGTTTCACTAGCTGCTTTGAAGCACACACAAAACGCTCACATTAGAAACCTTTGCTCATTTACTTCAGTGTCAGAGGAACTCGCAGTGCAATGGTATTATCAAGGGTTGTGTTCCTTTAGCTGTGTGCACTTGGGAACTCTAATCTGGTCCAACATGGGGCAGTAACTTCAAGCACTAATTATTTGGCTGGGTTTTATTTCGGAAATCCTACAGGGTACAATTACTGTCCAGAGTTGCAGATATAATTCTGTTTTGTTTTATTTTGTTTTGTTCTTTTGGGTGGAGTTTTTTATAAGTCTATGGTAACTAAACATATTTTTCCTCTTCACAGAGCAAGCTTTACATGGAAGGATTTAGAAGCCTAAAAGAAGGAGAACCAGTGGAATTTACTTTTAAGAAATCTTCCAAAGGCCTTGAATCAATACGGGTAACCGGTCCAGGTGGGATTCCCTGTTTAGGAAGTGAGAGACGACCCAAAGGAAAAACAGTTCAGAAAAGAAAGCCAAAGGGAGATAGGTAATTAATTTGCTAACTTTTTCCTCTGTCTGCATCTTTCTGAAACTCATTGATTATGGTTTACAATTGTTTCTATAAAGAAGTGATTTTTTTTTGCAAACTTGGGTTCAGTTGTAAAACTATGGGTGTGACTTGCTTAACTTCTAAAATAAAAGTTGTGAATTCTCTGGAAGCCACATACTCCTATTTTCAGAGTCCTTCTGTCTAATCCAAGACATGCAGTGTTGTAGTTGCTCTGTGGTCTTTGTGCGTGCAAAGGAACATTCTTCACAATGGTGGTTTTCTATGTGTCAGGATCAAGTCTTCGCACTGGAAGTGTGTTCTAGGTGCATGCCTCTCAAATTTAAATGTAGCATTTACTTATTAAATGTCAGGAGTCCATCTTGCATATCATGGAAGGATATGCTAGTTTGTTATAAAAATGGATTATAATTTTCTGATGATCTCTACCATATTTTTGTAGTACTTTGGTGCCTACAACGACTGTCTAGGGACTCATTTTTTGATGCTAGAGTAGAACAGAAGTTTGGAAGGCTACATTTTAAGCATTGTTAGCCTAACACAGCATGTCTCAGGCTTTCAGTTTAACATATGGTGGTCAGCTTGTTTTACTTGTGAATTCTTGTTTAAAATTGTATTTCATGTTATGCAGCACTATGGTGAAAAACCTAGAAGTTTCAAGATTTGAACTGGAGTTAGACCAGGGTGGTATTTTCTAGAAGCGATCCTAATGGAGCAAAGTGTGGTGAAGAAGGATGCTGCAGAGATAATGTGGCAGCTGTTCTCTGTTTTGAGCTGCATTTATGTGTGAGTGGAAACTTTGTTTTCGATGCTTAGCTCAGGCTGCCAAAACAGAAAATGTAGAAATCTATGAACTTTATGTTTGGCTTTGCTAAATTTTGTGTAGGAGAGAGATTCATTTTAAGTGGAAATTGTGTTGCAGTTGACTTGTTTGATTTGTATGGAGTTCCACAGAGAAAAATAAACAGATCTGCCTCCAGCATCATAGGATGTGGTATTAACCCACAGGAATAAGGGCATAGTGCAGAGATGCACTGAGCTGTGTCGGGCTTACCTGCCGCACTTACCTCTCTCCTCATCAGAACAGCAATTCACAGTTCTAAGTTACAATTTGTAAAGTAGCCTGTAGTCTAGTAACTTCTTGGTTCAAAAGGTTACAAACTCACTTAAGCAGCAAAAGTATGGATGCTGTAAATTAAGGTACCCACCTTAACTTCACTTCCATGTTAGTAGTAAGGGCTTCATACAGACCCATGGCACTTCTGACTTAGCCTTTCATGCACGTACATCTCCTCTTGGTCTTTCATTCAGTCATTGTCTTCTGCAGATTCAAGACAGGACTCTGCGCAATGGCACACTGTTTAATAAGATTTTATTCATTTGAATTATTAATTCTAATAGATAAACTATGCAGGAGGTTATCTCAACTCCAAAGCATAATCCTGTGAATGTTTAACCAGGTGTCATGCAACTATTCTAGCTTATCTGCACATTAGACTAACTCTGCTTAAATCAGGGGAGGGTCAGGGGGCTACCTCCCACACCCCCTGGCAGCAGCTCAAATTGTGGAAATTTTACAGAGAAACAAGGCAAGACAATGAAGGGAGAAGAATAGCACTTTCAATCGGAATTATGCTTTTGAGAATTTTGCTTGCAAACACACTATGTTTTCCTTCAAAATTGCTATAATTTTGGTAATGGTGGGTAGAGACAGTGGGGGCTGCCACGATGGCCCTGGGGAGTCTGCTTTTGGCTCTTGGGCTGTGAGGTGCTTATGCTTGGCTTACTATTTTAAATAAAAAGCAACCTAGCGCAAAGGCCAATCCTATATATGTTTGCTCCTCAGTGCAAGTGCATCCTCCTTATTTCTAATGAATTTTATTGCCTGAAACAACACCCATCCCAATAATTAGTTACCTCCATTCTTTTGTCTGTCTGCATCCTCTCATTATCAGCCTTGTTCTTTTCTCCCCAACTCGCCCCATGTTGTCCATCATTAACATCAATAAGAGCTTGCAGTGAAGGAAAACAGAAAGTCAGTGTGTACCTAGGCAGCCACTAGGAACTTGAGTATCTGTGTTCTCCAAAGCTGCAGAAGAAAATTAGAAAGATGTAGAGAAAACATGGGTGCATGGAAGCAAAGTTGCAACGAAGCAAGACTGAGGTTCTAGAATATACTTGCTGCCTTTATTTCATGGCACAGACATTAAATGTTTCATGTTTTATTTTATGTATTTATTTACTGCATTAGTATACCAGTCAATATCTAGACAAATTCCAGGGCAGTGAAAAATAAAGATTAAATTTATAAAAAGGCTAAAATAAGCACATTAAAAACAGTATATTAAAACTGGCTGGTAAGCAATGAAGACTTTCAGGAACAAAGACTTTTCCAGCAAGTGCCAGAAAGAAGAGTGTGAAAGCCTGACTGACTTCCAGGGACAGGGCATTCCGTACAAAGAGAGCCACCACACTGAAGAGCCTGGTCAACTCCAGTTCGGTGATAGGTCCAATGACTTCAGTTGCCAGGCAGGCTGGTAAAGCTCTCTCAAATATCCTGACACCTTTGTACACTAGTTCCAGAACATTAAACCTGGCTTGGTTGCCAATGGGCAGCTACTGCATCCCTGCCCAAGGGCCAACCAACTTCTGCTTAAATCCCTCTAGTGCTTCAACTAAGCTGAGTGTTGCTTGTTTGTTAGTTAATTAATTTAATACCCTGCCATTCACAGCTGTTTCTGTCATGAATTCTATCTTGAAGTGACCCAGTCACTTACCCAAGAGAGTTCTTCCACTTGCATTTCATCTGCCATTTCTTTATATTGGGTCAGAATTAAGCCCAAGATTGCAGTTGCCCTTGTTCCTTCCTCTACCTTCTGCAAGGTAGTCAGCAAGTCAGAGCAAAAATAAATAATAAATATTTATAATAAATAAATATACAATAACAATAAAGAAAAACTTACTGGATATTCCATTCGCTGCAGACTTCCAGCAAATGTCAGAATAGTTGAAGTTCCTATTACTCTATTGCTTGTCCCAGTAAAAGTTTTATTAATTCTCCCAGAAGACACCATCCATGTTAACTGCCACAACAATTTATCCCTCCATCTATCTCTAACCATGCTTCTTTTCTTAGCATTACAGATTTCCACACATTCCTAAATATACTGCAACTTCCCTTCCTGTTAGCTCTTTTCCTTTTCAACAAGGTATGCCCTTCATTGGCAATATTCCAATCAGGAGTCACATTGGACCAAGTGTCAGTGATATCTATCTGATCGTCCTTACCATTTTGTATTAGGATTTCAAGTTTCTCCTGTTTGTTTCTCATGCTCCATGTATTAGTATATAGTCACCTGAGGCCATAGATGTTGCACCTTTTCAGTTTCCCTGCTGTGTTAACTGCAATTTACTGGATCTGCTTCCCCAAGTCTTGTCTCCTCCTTTGTCCTTCTCTGTGATACGTAACTCAGTAGCTAGCTTACACCCACACACATACAAGGTTTGTTTAAAATAATCAGGTTTGCAAGTCTGCTACCCAAAAAAATGTTTTCTAGTCCTAGTGAGGTTCACCCGAACTATATGAAAGGAGTCCTACAAATTGGTATTGAAAGCTGTGGTCCACAAAACCAAACCTTTCCAGTGACATCATCTGCACAACCAGCTATTAATTTCAGGATCTTTCCCTAACAGTGCACTGACCTTCATCAGAAAGGATTGATGAAGAGATAACACTTGTACCTCCAAATCCTTCACTTTCCTATCCAGAGCCTCACGGTCTTCGGAGATCCATTCAACATTTTTTCTGGCACTACCATTTGCTCCCACATGAATCAGCAAGAGTGGATAGCAGGCAGTTGTCTTGATGAGTCTCTGCACCCACGCCATCCCATCTCGGATCTGTGCTCCAGGAAGGTGAAATGCTTCCCAAGATTAATTATCTGGTATGCACACCGCAGCCGCCAGTAGGGAGTCTCTCGCCGCTGTCCCGCATCTGCTCCTTCTGGGTTGGCTCTTCTGTTCCTCCCATACATGTGTGTCTGGGTGCCTTCACCAGTATTTTGTGGAGTTCAGGGTGGTGTCCCACCTTCAGGCCACCCAGGATTCATAACCACCCAATGGAAAGGATTGGTGGGTAAATTCTTCAATTCCACATGGACCCAAGTGTCTTCCCTAATGATCTGTAGTGTGCACGCAGTGCCCAGTTTTCCAATGGCCCAGGGTCACCTTCCATGGGAAGAGCTCTTCATCTGTTCTGCCGTGTGTCACATTCTTCCTCCCCTCTAGTTCTCCTTGCCTTCTGTTTTCTTCCCCTTCCTTGGCTCTCTCCTCCTCCTATTGTTCTTTCAAGAGGGCTACCTGCCTCTCAACTACAAGCCGTTCAACTGTCTGTCTTTCTCGACAAGTTGAAGTGTGCAGAAGCATGCTTCAGCCTCCCTGCATTCTCTTCCAGGAGAGCTCCCAGCCTTCACAGGCTGCAGGTTTGGTTCCTGTTCTCCCTAGAAGGAAGACGAACATGGCACACACCCTGCAGGTTGCTGGAACAACTCCGTCCATTTGCACAGTGCAATGTATTCCAGATGGCCCTGCTGTTTCCATGGACTCCTCTCCAACCTCTCCTAGTAAACTCACTGCTATCATTCACTGCCAGGACACAGAGCCTTGCAGCAGAGCTGACCTGATTAGTCCCAACTGTAAGATTATGGCCCAGCCCACAAGCCACAGGCTTGTTAGCTGTAGGCTGAGTCATGTGACCCAGCAGTCAGTCCCAATTTAAACAAAGAGCAGCAGGGTGTTTTGTTTGGGTTTCCCCCCCCCCCCCTTTGGATGGGGAAGCTGTTCATTTTGGGGAGTGGGGAAAAAATGACCCTCGCAGTCAAGTGACGTAGCACCCTAAGCAAAGAGAGGGAACACAAAGCCCCAAACAGACAGACCCTCCAAACAAGTCTCAAACTCAGCTCACAAGCTATAAATCCACCTCCTCCTTGTCATTTTGAGCAGCCCCATGAAAAATCTCCCCCCTCCCCACAACCTCCTGTTCACTCACTCCGAGGAAATGGGCGGATTCACTGTGGAGCTGAACCGCTTTGAACAGTCCTAGGTATAGACTGTGGACAGCAGGCTACTAAGGAAGGCCATTTTAATTACCTACACATTACTGTTGTATTATTTCCTTAACAGTTTGCCTGATAATTTAGAAAGTATGTTACTGATTGATAGACTGGGTGTATTAAAATTCATCTGTATTGTTTCATATATTAAAATCCCCAAGCAATTCACATCAAAATGCAATATAACAGGCCAGATAAAACAATAAATAATGTAAAGATTAAAAATATTTAAAAAGCATTGCAATACTATGTCAGGGCAGTAAGAATCTCTAAAGAAATCAGAGAAAGCCTACTTGACTATGTGTGTTTTCAAAAGGTGCTTACAATGCTTTGCAGAAGTATTCACCCTTTTTGACATTTCCACATTTAAGTTGCTACCTGATATTTAAATTGATTTAATTGACATCATTACCAGTTGATGCACACAAGATGCTCAATGCTGTGAATGTGCGCGCACACACGCATGCACACAGAGTGGCACAAAAATTAAGTTAAAAAACCCAAACTGACACCTGTTGGCTGAGCAAGCATTCACCCCCTTAAGGCAATATTTAGTAGAAGCATCTTGGGCAGCAATTACAGCTGTGAGTCGTAAGACACCTTCAGCTTTGCACATCTGAATCCTTTAGTGTTTTCCCCTTCTTCCTGGCAAGATTGTCAGGTTGCATGGAAACCATTGGTGAACTGCAACATTCAGATATTTGTTTAGGTGAAGCCCTGGGCTTTGACTGACATTCAGCTTTTCATTTATAAACCACTTCAACGTTAGTTTGGCTATCAGTTTAGGGGCATTATTCTCCTGGAAGGTAAAATTTTGCCCCAGTCCCAGATCACTTGTGGACTGAAAAGGGTTTTCCACCAAGAATTTCCCGTATTTGGCCCTGATCTTAACCAGTATACCAATCCCTGCTGAGGAGAAACATTCCCACAACAGGATGATGCACCTCCATGCTTCACTGTGGGGATGGTGATTTCAAGGCAATGAGCAGTGTTGGCTTTGCATTTTGCAGCAAAATCAGCTTTGGTCTCATCAGACCAGGGAACCTTTTCTCAGCTGTTTCCCACATGCATTTTTGCAAACCCAACTGGCTTGTTTCAGCAGCAACTTCTTCCAACCACTGCTCCGTAAAACCCAGGTTTGTGGAGCATCCAGCTTCCAGTCGTCCCATGGGTATTTTTTCCCATCTTAGCTGCAGATCTTGCCAGCTCATTCAGAGTTACTATTGGCCCCTTACTAATATTCTCCTTACAAGTGTTGGTGAATGGCCCTCTCTAGGCAGAGTCACAATTGAGCCATATCCTTTCCACTTTGCAGTGGTGGATTTAATAATGCTCTGGGGGATGTTCATGGTTGGGATTTTAGGGAAGGAGACTGACCCTGACTGGTGCTTCTGCACAAATTTATTGCAGAATTGAGAACTGTGTAAGCTGCCTTGGGTTCTTGCAAGAGAAAAAAAGGCAGGGTAGAAATGCAGAACAAATTATAATGTCTGCTTGGTCTTCATGATGCTGCATCAGGGCTAGTCTTCTCCATCTACCAAGCAGACCAGGACAAATGCTTTCAAATTACATGTCTTTGTTAAAGCTGACCAGCTAGGCTGGCTTTGCAATACAAAACAAGTATAATGCAAAAGTTAATAAGAAAGACACAAACCAAGCTAGAATACTGTCCATTAGGGAAATGTGCCCTAATAATATGAAGTTAATTACAAACTGAATACCTTTTCAAGGTGGATCCTGCAGATTATGGGCCAGTCACCTGCAATGTTTAGTGTTTCTCATCTGGTCCACCCTCTTAACCTTGATGCCATATGATTGGCCCAATGATGTTAAATCTGCTCCCACCCATCTCAACTTGCTTACTAGAATTTCCAAAGCTGATACTGTCTGCAACAGAGAGCCAGTGTGGTGTAGTGGTTAAGAACATGGGACTCGGACTCAGAGGATCTGGGTTCCAGTCCCCGCTCAGCCATGGAGCCAACTGGGTGACTTTGGGCCAGTCACAGACTCTCAGCCCAACCTACCTCACAGGGTTGTTGTTGTGGGGATAAGATGGAGGAGGAGAATGATGTAAGCTGCCTTGAGCTCTTTGTAGGAAAAAGGCAGGATATAAATCACAATATAAATAAAATAAATAAATAAACTGCCTGGTGTACCCCTGAGTCCTTTGGCTATGGCATTTCATCAGGAAATCCCAACTCCTCCACCACCTCTGAATCGGAATCTAAGTCAACCATCTCTTCAGGGAAATAAAGGGAAATCCAGGGAAATTCTAGGAACTGATATATTTTATCCTCAGTCGCATGGCACTGGAATGACACAGAGGTGCCCCTCATTGAACTATAATAAATAATTTCTGGAAGCAGTGGGTTACACTGAAACTGTGTGTGTGTAGTTCTGTATTTTGATTTTGCTATACAAAGCCAAACTGCACCATTAGAGAGAAAAAAATGTGGGGAGACAAAGTATGCCAAAACTCGACAATTTTTGAATAAAAGTTAAAAGATCCACAATACTTGTTGCATATACTTGTATATTGTGTATATCTCTGTGTATTACTGTATAACAGAACATACTATCATTCTTCAACATAATTAACAGCAACAAAGACAACCTAAATATCCCCATATTTGTAGAATATGCTTAAAGGCCATCCATTCAAAAGTTGCATTAAATTCTCCACCCATTCTGTTATTTCAGGTGGCCATTTATCCTTCCAGTGTTGTGTATCAGTCTTCTAGCTGTCAAAAGGCATAGAGAATCCATTTTTGTTACATTAAATACCAAGCAACAGATAATTAAGAAAAATATGTGCTTCTGTAAATATTAAAGAATTTCCCATCACAACATTTATCCAGATTATTACCACCTTCCAAAAGGAAGCAGCCACTGGGCATTGCCAGTACATAAGGAGAAAGAAGCATTAGCAGCATTACACCTGCAACAACTGGCCCATTTAATTAATTCTTATCAAAGAGACATTGTGCCATTCAGTATACTCAAAATATTATTTTTTGCTAAAATATAGCCTAAGATGCATGAGTTTATTTAGACATGTCACACCGAAGGGGGTAAACATTATGCAACAATGTCCATTTATTTGTGTTTATTTAACTTTTGTGCTGCAGCAAAATATTTTGCAATGTCACACTGTAAATTTATATATTCATATCCCTTCTTTTTTCCTCTTGCAAGGAGCCCAAACACCTTACATAATCTACCTTCATCTCTCCATTTTATTCTCATGACGATCCTGTGAGATGAATTGGGCTGAGAATCAGTGACTTGATTCAAAATCGCTTCATGGTCAAGCAATGACCAGAACTCAGATCCCCAGAGACTCAGGCCAACACTCTAACAACTAGACCAGAGTATCTTGTGTACACCAAGGGGTAGCAGTGCCAGTTAAATCCATTTCAGTTTCAGACTTTAGTTTCAAATTTCAGTTTCAGACTACAAACAAAATAGAGAAAAATCAAAGGGGGGTAGTGAATACTTCTTCAAGGTGCTGTACAACATGCCAAATTATGTGCTTCTCAGACCACTGAGATGGCCAACCGCTTCCTGGTGACATTCCACTGGTCATAGAACAACCCATGAAGTCTCCTCAGATTGTCCAAGGGAAGATGGTTCTCCAGGATGTCTGACCCTGAATCTTTGTATGTCAACAGTAAATGCGCGACCATGGCTTGTCAGCTAATAGGCAGTCGGTGAAGTTCCTTCAGTATATTTTACTTATTTATTAATTTATCTATTTAAAGCTTTTCTATCCTGTCCTTTCGCCAAAGTCTCAGGTAATACAGTAATAAAGCACAATATAGAAGGCCTGTGTGCCCATGTGTGTAGCTAATGGTTCCTCTGAGTATCCTAACAGCCATGTTCTTAACTAGCCGCAGTTTCCAAGCTGGGCACAAGGACAGCCCCAGGTACAGCACATTACAGTAATGTACAGTAATGAGAAGTCCCAATGCATGGATCACAGTCACTAGTTCTTACCTATCAAGATATAGCCATAGTTGTCACAACTGCTGAAGCTGCCAATGGATGCTCGAAGCCACCCACGGCACCTAAAGCCCTAATGACCGTGATGGATCCAAGAGCACCCCCAGACTATCTGCCTGTTGCTTCGGAAGGAATGTATCCTCACGCAAACAGGCAAGAACTCCAGTGCCTCTGTCAGGATTCATGCACTAGGCATACAGTGTAGACCATTATTGTTCAGCTCCTTGGCAGGGACACAGCTGAAACGGACACAGAGTAGCCTGGAATGTACTCCTCTGTTGTTGCCCTGGATCACTAGAGGAAATGTGCCCAGCTAGAGACAGTAAACTGTGTAAGCAATGATCACAGGCATGCACACGCATGTTATCATAACTGACAGTTTATTCTCACTTATCCCAGATTGTAGAAAATGGAACAACGAACTACAGTAGACCAGGTGCAGTCTAGGCACAAGGAAGAATTTCCTAACTGTAAGAGCATTGCAACAGTGGAACCAGTTGCCAGGAGAGGTTGTGTGATCTTCCACACTAGAGACATTCAAGAAGAAGACAGACAGTTATCTGAGTGGGATGGGGTAACTGGTATCCTGCACCAGCAGGGGGTTGGACTCAATGGCCCTCTTGCCCCCTTTCAACCCTATTGTTTGTGATTCTGTGGGAACAGACACAAATATAAATACAGCAG